AGCTTAGAGGGAACATTGGACCTGGGGATCCCATGGAGAAAATGGGTGCTGGGGAGGGTGGTCTCTCTGGCACGGTACCCCACTGAGGTCCCCGTCACCCCCGGGCGCTACCCCCAAGTCCCCAGGAGTTCCCCAGCCTGGATCTGGCAACCCAGGCCTAGAGATATGAAGGCCCGGGAAAAAATTGGAAAAATTCGGGGGAAAAAACAGGTTTTTTTCGTTTTTTCCCTGAAGCCTTTTTTGTTTTTTTCCAAAAAATTGAAAAAAGAAAATAAAAGGAAAAAAATTGACTATGGAACGTTTTAGTTTAACATGATGAGTACAATATTTTAAGACAAGGTGTTCAAATATTTTCCAAATCATTTCTAATATATATATATGGTATCAGATTGATCTAATTTCTGTGCACTGAGGACAATCAAGTCCTAGGTTACCAACTGAACTCTCCAATGCAAGAACAAGATGCGTTTCTTCCTTTAGGAGGTGCTATTGTCACAAGAAAAGAAAATGGTTTCAGTTTTGTTTTTGCATGTGGGTGGGTATTCTGTTTGTAATAATGGTTTGGATACACTATATTTTTAATATGCTAGTTGTGATAATTTCATGCCAAGTAAAAATGTCCATAGTCATATTTTATGTTCCTAAAGTAATAGAATGACTTTCAATCTAGAAAAGACAAAAGAAATGCTAATGTAGCATTTTTTTCAATTTTTCCAAAAATTTCCGTTTTTTCCCGAGCTTCAAAATTTCCAGAAATTTTACATCTCTACCTGTGAGCTCCCTGTAGCAACACGTAGCCTAAATAATGCGGTTTCAATCCACGTCAGCGACCGTTTGCAAGTGGATGTTGCCGTTTCACGCAGTAAGATCCACTTGCAAAGTGCACTGGAAGTGAGTCACTTAGTGTGTTCCAAAGTGCCCAACGATTCAAATGAAACGAGACGGTGGACACCCCCCACCCGCCACCACCAATGGCTACGGCCAGTGTTCCCTCTAAGCTGAGTTAGTGTGAGCTAGCTCACTGTTTTTTAGCCTCTGGCTCACACCTTTTTGTCTCAGCTCAGGAAGGAGGGCTCCACAGCAAACTAGTTTATGCAGTAGCCAAACTGCTCGCTCACAACTTTAATGCCAGTAGCTCACGAAGTAGAATTTTTGCTCACAAAACTCCACAGTTTAGAGGGAACATTGGCTACGGCCACAACGGATGCCCCGGTTGTGGCGCTCCCTGCCCCTTCAGAGTGTTGCCAACTCTGGGCGGGGAAATACCTGGAGACTTGGGGGTGGAGCCTAAGGAAGGGGAGGGACTTCAGGAGGGTGCACTGCCAATGAGCCCACACTCCAAAGCAGCCATTTTTTGCAGGGGAACTGATCTCTGTCGTCTGATTCCCCACCTGGAGCCTGGAGCCCACACCCATCATTGCTGAAGGGGACCAGGCAGTGGGGCTCCGGAGTCACCCCCAGAAGCCCCGTGCCCCCATCCTCCGCCCGAGGGCATCTTGCAGGCCCACAGCAGCCGAGAGGAAGAGGCTTAACAAACAGAATACCCACCCAGATGTCAGATCTCAGAAGCAGGGCTGGCCAGGGTTGCCACAACAGCAAACCACCATGTGCCTCGGAGACCCCATGAGAGGTTGCCATAAGTTGGCCCTGATTTGAGGGCATTTTCCATGGCTTTATTTGGCCATGACAGACCCACCTGGCTCACCCTCTGCCCCCGCCTTCCCCCACAAGTCCACCTCGCCAGCTCTTCTGGGGGTGGCTTTCTCCCTCACCTGTGCTCTGTTGCGCCCCCTAGATTATTGGCGGAGCTGGACTGGACGTGGACTTCTCCTTGGAGAGCCCCTCGGGAGTGCTGCTGGTCGACGAGTACCGGAGATCGGACGGGCTGCACACGTGAGTGGAGCTCTTTTGTGGGCGGCCGTCCTGTCTGAATGGGCTGGCGAGGCTGCTGGCCCTTGGCCCGCTCCTTGAAAACATTTACTAGCCACCTTTCGGCCTTACATAGTTCAGTGCAGCTTACAGTGTAGGTAAAATAAAAACATAACATTTAAATTTAGAAGCACAACTCAGGACTGCTAGTAAGCGTCACCAAACGCAGTCCTAAATAAAAACGTCTTCAGCTACCTCCTGAAGACCAAAAGTGAGGGTGGGCCAGAAACACCTCCCTGGGGAGGTTGTTCCATAATTCATAGAATCATAGAGTTGGAAGGGACCTCCAGGGTCATCTAGTCCAACCCCCTGCACAAGGCAGGGAATTCACCACTACCTCCCCTCCCACCCCCACTGACCACTGTTCCATGCTTAAAAGGTAAAGGTTCCCTTGCTCGAAAGTCAGTCGAATCCGACTCTAGGGTTGCGGTGCTCATCTCCGTTTCAAAGCCGAAGAGCCAGCGCTGTCTGAAGACGTTTCCGTGGTCATGTAGCCGGCATGACTAAACACCGAGGCGCACGGAACGCTGTTCCCTTCCCACCAAAGTGGTACCTATTTATCTACTTGCAATTTCTTGCTTTCAAACTGCTAGGTTGGCAGGAGCTGGAACTAGAGACGGGAGCTCACCCTGCCTTGCGGCACACTCGGGTCTCGAATTGCTGAACTACCGACCTTCCACAGCCTGCAGTTCAGCGTCTTAACCCCTTGAGCCACCGCAGCTCCTTCCATGCTTAGAAGATGACAAAAAACCTCCCTGGCCAAACTGTCCTGGAGAAAAATTGCTTCCTGACCCCAAAGTGGCGGTCAGCATTTCCCTGGGCGTGTAAGAAAGGGCCACGAGAACTAAGCACTGAGGCCGGCCTCCCTGCCCTCCCTTCTCACGATCTGCCCAAGTTCACAGAATCCGCATTGCCGCCAGATGGCCATCTAGCCTCTGTTTGAAAACCTCCCAAGAAGGAGAGCCCACCACCTCCCGAGGAAGCCTGCTCCACGGTCAGGAAGTTCTAACTCTCAGGAAGTTCTTCCTAACGTTTAGCCGAAAACGCTTCTGATTTAATTTCAACCCCTTGGTTCTGGTCTGACCTTCCGTGGCAACAGGAGACAACTCTGAATTGTGGGGCTGCCACTGAAAGGGCCCTCTCTCATGTACCCACCAAGCGTGCCGCTTTGATTGGCGGGACGGTCAAGGAGGCTCTCTCTCCCAGCAGTCTCCGTGTTCCCAGGCAAGGAGGTGCAGGAGAAGAGGGCCCTTCGGAGACCCCTCGTCCCCAGCCACGGAGGGCTTTAAAGGACAAGGGCAGCACCTTGAATCACCGGCCTCTTACCTGATGACCACGGTGTCACCTGTATGATGTCACTGAGATGCGTGCAGGACTTTCGTCCTGGTGTTCAGTATGCTGTGTTCTCCACTATGTCCTGGTCCTGACAATGGTAACGTTTTTAACCCTTTTCTGTTTTTACTGTAATATTGATTACTGCTTTGGCAGCCATCACTATATTGCTACGGCCTTTGGCCTCATGCAGTAAAAATTCTACCTACCTACCTTGAATTGGGCTTGGGAGCAGTGTTCCTGCTAAGCTGAGTTAGTGCGAGCCAGCTCGCAGTTTTTTAGCCTCCGGCTCACACATTTTTGTCTCAGCTCAGGAAGGATGGCTCCAGAGCAAACTGATCTATGCAGCAGCCAAATCGCTCGCCCACAACTTTAATGCCAGGAGCTCACAAAGTAGAATTTTTGCTCACAAGACCCCACAGCTTAGAGGGAGCCTTGCTTGGGAGTGGATCGATAGCCAGGGTGATTGCTGTAATATCAGGCTCTTGCGCTCCCGATTGCTGGCCCCTACCCTTCCAGCACCGGAGAGCAATGCGCCTGCCCTGATGCTGCTTTCGGAGGGAGACTCTGAGCCAGGCTTAGACCTTCTTTGGGTCACACGCCGAGGCCTGTTTGAATAGTTCTCCTTTTGTCTTGCTGTTAAATGAGCCCAGCAGCCTGTCGTCGGCAGGCTGTGTAAGTTCCGTGGTGCACGACGTGGTTCCAGACCCACCAGTGGGTAGTGAGACTCAGGGGCAGGGATTTGAATCTGGGTCACTGGTTTAAAAGCAACCAAAAGGTTTGAAAGCAAGAAATTGCAAGTAGATAAATAGGGACCACTTCGGTGGGAAGGTAACAGCGTTCCGTGCACCTTGGTGTTTAGGCATGCCGGCCACATGACCACGGAAACGTCTTCGGACAGCGCTGGCTCTTCAGTTTGGAAACGGAGATAAGCACTGCAACCCTAGAGTTGTATTCGACTGGCTTTCGAGCAAGGGAACCTTTACTTTACTTTAAAAGGCACTGGGGAAACGTATTTGTTTCATACAGCATGTGGCAAGAGACCCCGAGAAAAATGCTCGTGCGTATGGTGGAGCCACTCTGAAGTTGTCGTGCGCATCGGGGATATGAAGGATGACTGTCCTCTGTGTCTGGGGATGTGCAGGGAAATCTGGAAAGGTGCCCCTAAGCAAGGCTATTATTTGAGGGAAAGAAGATACAAAAAATGAGATGCTGATTCTCTCTGGAGTTTGCTTTTAACTTTATAATTGACTCTTGTTTAGAACCTTACTAAGTCAGATTACCTGGACTCGAAGTATATAAGCAACTTTTATTGCTCACTTTTAATGTAACAATTTAACCTTATAAGTTAGAAGCGAAGAAAATGTAACAATTGTAGTACCTCCGCCTCTTGGGTTTTTAGTGGTTATGCTTTACTTTCTCCTATAGTTTGTAGTTCCCCTATCCCGTTTTTCATGTAGTTTTTAGAAAATAAAAAATAATTTAAAAAAAGGAAATTTGGAAAGGTGGTATAAACCGGGGGTCCCCACCGTGGACCCCCGCGAGAGCCAGTTTGGTGTCGTGGTTAAGTGCACGGACTCTAATCTGGGAGAACCGGGTTTGATTCCCCACTCCTCCACTTGCACCTGCTGGATGACCTTGGGCAAGCCTTAGCTCTGGCACAGCTTTTCTTGAAAAAGAGCAGTTTCTGTCAGAGCTCTCTCAGCCCCACCTACCTCACAGGGTGTCTGTTGTGGGGAGGGGAAGGGAAAGAAGTTTGTAAGCCGCTCTGAGACACCTTTGGGTAGTGAAGGGCGGGGTATAAATCCAATCTCTTATCTTCTTCTACCTGTGGGCAGTGTTCCCTCTAAGCTGAGTGAGTGTGAGCTAGCTCATAGTTTTTTAGCCTCCGGCTCACACATTTTTGTCTTAGCTCAGGAAGGAGGGCTCCGGAGCAAACTAATGTATGCAGCAGCCAAATGGCTCGCTCACAACTTTAATGCCTGTTAGCCGCCCTGAGCCCCACGGGGGAGGGCGGGATATAAGTCTAACTAATAAATAAATAAATAAATGTCAGTAGCTCACAAAGCAGAATTTTTGCTCACAAGACTCCACAGCTTAAAGGGAGCATTGCCCGTGGGTGCCATGGCACCTGCCAAGCATTTCTCAGAAAGCGGGTGGGACCAGGTGAGGTTTTTGTCCCGCAAGGCTCCTGATTGGCCACTGGCAATTTGATTGGCTGGGCAGACTTTTTACAAGGCGGCAGCTGCCTTCCCAACATCAGGATCTTTCTTCGCCGTGTGACTGCAGGGCGCTCTCTGCCTCCTGCAGCAGCCAAAGGTGCCCACGGGCTCAGAAAGGTTGGGGGACCCCCTGATAGAAACCACGTTCTCGAAGACTGAATCTCCTAAGATGAAATCGGAACTATAAGAGCAGGCTCTGACAGAGAGAACCGGCGTGAGCGTGGCCGAAGTGGGAGACCCCTGCGCCTTTCCCGTCCGGGCCCTGACTCCACCCCCCCGCCTGTTCCTTTCCCCCCCTCGTCCCGCAGGGTGGAGCCCACCGAGACGGGGGACTACAAGCTCTGCTTCGACAACTCCTTCAGCACCATCTCCGAGAAGCTCGTCTTCTTCGAACTGATCTTCGACAGCCCCCAGGACGACGAGGACCTCAACGGCTGGGCGGAAATGGCGGAACCGGAGGCGCTCGACATCAAGATCGAGGACATTAAGGTGGGCTGGGGGGGGGAGCCGGCGGGCACGGAGAGCAGGGGAGGTTTCTCCTCACGCTGATGTTAGAACTAGAGTTTGGGGGGGGGGTGACACGTCTCCAAAACCACACCCAGGGTGATGTCACTCGACCGGGGGTCCCCGACCCCATTCAGCCTGGGGTCACCTCTGGGATTCCGGCACAGCTTGGTGGGTGCGGCTGCAAAATGGCTGCCTCGGAATGGCGGCTGCAGAGCTTCCCTTCAGTCACCCAGCGGAGATCTTTGTGCTGCGGTGGCGGCTGCCGCCAAAGCAACATTTTAAAAAAATCTGCAGAGGCAGTTTGGTGGCGTGGTTAAGTGCGCGGACTCTAATCTGGGAGAACCGGGTTTGATTCCCCACTCCTCCACTTGCACCTGCTGATGTGACCTTGGGTCAGTCACAAGCTCTGGCACAGCTGTCCTTGGAAAAGAGCAGTTTGTGTCAGAGTTCTCTCAGCCCCACCCACCTCACAGGGTGTCTGTTGTGGGGAGGGGAAGGGAAAGGAGTTTGTAAGCCGCTCTGAGACTCCCAAGTGAAGGGCGGGGTATAAATCCAATCTCTTCTTCTTCTTCAATCTCTCCAGTTTTCAATCACAGGCCCTTCTGGGCAAAAGCCAGAGCAGGTGACAGCAGGTGTCGCCGTGCCCACGGGCGCCACCTTGGGGAAGCCCACGTTAGACCAAGGGCGTAAAAGGTCAGTCAGCATGAAGGTCTGATGTCAGAGGCTTTGGCTAATGGGGAGGAAGAAGAGGAGATTGGATTTATACCCCACCCTTCACTCGGCGTCTCAGAGCGGCTTACAGACTCCTTTCCCTTCCCCCTCCCCACAACAGACACCCTGTGAGGTAGGTGGGGCTGAGAGAGCTCTGACAGAAACTGCTCTTTCCAGAACAGCTCTGACAGAACTGTGGCTTGCCCAAGGTCATCCAGCTGGCTGCATGTGGAGGAGTGGGGAATCAAACCGGGTTCTCCCAGATTAGAGTCCGCGCACTTAACCACGACACCAAACTGGCTCTTCTGCCTAGTTCTTCATGTCCCACCACGATCTTGTCTTACACGCCACAGTTTCTGGACAGCTTACGACTGGTTTCAGTTCAAGTCTCCATTAGTAGAGCCGTCGCTGCTGTTGGTACGGCTTTGCCAATGGCCTGAGAAGGAAACACACGTGGTTTTCATTCCGGCCATTTGCCACTTTGGCCCTCGCTAAAGCCTGGACACAGGAAGTGACATTTAAATGCGGGCAGGAAAATGCTGCCGCCAAGCTCATTGGGAACACACTCGGACAGGAGAGCAGTTGGCCACTGGACTGGTGGTTCCCCAGCCCTCTTCTTCCCTATCGGTCAATTTTGGCTCCAAAACCTCTCAGGGGCTTCTGGGAGTTGTAGGCCCGGCCTCACCTACTGCTAGCCAGGCTCCCGGGCCTAGTAGGCCTCTGGTGGCACCGCCCAGGTCATGACAGGCCCCCACGGGAGACAGAGCCAAACGCCAGTCCCTCTGCCCCCACTTTGTGGCCCCGGGAATCTCTTCCCTTTGAATGGGGGAAGCTGGTAACAAGTCCTGCCTTACGACGGCTCCACCTGCTTTCTGAGACGCTTGGGTGCCAAGAGAAGTCTGGACGGGCACAGTGGCGCCCCTGGGGACTGTTTTGGGGACCCCTGGCTTATGGTGTAGTCTAGTACGTGGTACTGTAGAACAAAGTGAGAGTCCAGGGGCACCTTGAATAAAACTGTGTTGGTGTTCAAGGTGCCCCCGGACTCTCACTTTGTTCTATTGCTTCGGACCAACACGGCGACTCACCTGGATCTATCTCTATGATCCTATAGTAGAAATCCTAGCAGAATGCCTTGGTCCCCCCCCCCCTGTTCTCTCCTTCTCCCCCTGCAGTGGGTGGTCTCTGAGCGCTCTCCCTCCTGTCTGCCCTTCTAGGAATCCATTGAGACGGTGAAGAGCCGTTTGGAGCGGAGCATCCAGATGCAGGCACTGCTGAGAGCCTTCGAGGCCCGCGACCGCAACCTGCAGGAGAGCAACCTCAGCAGGGTCAACTTCTGGTCCGCCGTCAACCTCAGCGTGCTGCTGGTGGTCTCCTTCCTCCAGGTGTACCTGCTGAAAAGCCTCTTCGAGGACAAGAGGCGGGTCTGGATGTAGCTGGCCGAACCGGCCGGTCCTCCGACGCGGGCCGGGAACCCTCCCCGGGCTTGGCCCGCATGTTCACGACTGTCTGAATGCTGCTGCCATTCCTGTCCCCGTCTCTCTCTATTGGGAAGGTAATAGAAGAAATACCGGAGTCAAGATCCAGGAGAGACCGGGCGGGAGGAGCGAATAGGACCCCTCCATCTTGAGACTGTGTTGGCAGGAAGCCGAGGAACAGATTTTGACAGCAGGGTAGTCAGAGATGGAGGCAGGAGGCGGCGGCCCGCGAGCAAGAACAAAGACGTTGATTTCCGTGCCTTGGACATTTCAATAAACTTTGCTATTCTCAGGGTGTGAGTGTGGACTGCAGCTTTAGACACTGCTTATCCCTTAGACCTAGCCGCAGACGATTTGCGTACAATTTTGTCCTCGTGTGCCTTACCAGGAGCTGCCCTTTTCCCCTGGACACTCATTGCCCCAAGAGGTCACCGTGTCACCTCCAAGCATGACAAGAGCTCTTGGGGGTTGGGGGGTGGTTCTCCTTCTCTCGGCCTCTTCACTGCTCCTTGGCTCCTTGACTCCGGGCGAGGCTACCCGAGGAGTCGGTGCAGCGGCCTACTATTCGGTGTGTCTGTTCATAGGGCTGTCGAAGAAGTTCTCCGCTCTGTACTGAGCATAGGGGAAGGCGCATGTGCCGGCCTGTGCGACACTTGCGTCCGCACCTCTGTTTTTGCAAGGCCCATCTCTTTCAGTATCTGCTGGCAAGAAGAGCTGCGGCTCCCGTCTCCGGACATCACTTGGCAAAGCCGTCTGGTTAAATTTATGCTTTTTGTGTTCAGGTTGCAACCCGAACCTCTTTGCGAGATCTAGCAGAATTTAGATATGTAGACAAAAGAACAAGAACCACTCCCCAGAGACCAAAAAAAAAAATCACTAGTCACCAATACATGAAACTGCAGTCTAATTGAAATAAAGGATCATAACAGTTGTTACAATCCATTATTCCAATTAGACTGTAGTTTCATGTATTGGTGACTATTGATTTTTTTGTTTTTGTCTCTGCGGAGTAGTTCTTGTTTTTTTGTCTGTGATTCCTCCTCGTTCCTGTTTTACTGAAGTTAAGGGTATGGCATCAGCAGAGCCTCACCACCGTTAATACTGCTGGGCCCTCACTTTGGATACAGGCCAGCCCCGATAAGGGATAAGTGCACCCAGGGCTCTTTTTGTAGAAAAAGCCCAGCAAGAACTCATTAGCATAATAGGCCACACCCTACAGCAGAAACTCATTAGCCTATTAGGCCACACCCCTGACAGCACAGTTCATTAGCACATTAGGCCGCACCCATGTTACCAGAAGTGTGGTTATCCAGCCACACCCACCTTTCCCTTCTTATTCTGTTTAGCTTGTTTGTTGTCCAAACCCAGGGCTTTTTTGTAGCAGGAACCCCTTTGCATGTTATTTTTTTTTTTTTTAATATTTATTTTTTAAATTGTTTTACACAGATTTTACATATTATCTTTTAACCATGCGTTTTCATAATAGTTTTTTCCCTCCCCCCTCCCCCCTCCCTCCTATGCTATCCCGGTGCTTTAGTCCTATATTCCCAGCCACGGGCACAAAGTCCGAATCTTGCTCTGAATGTCTTTTCTTCCTTCTGTCGGTATCCATTCCAGGTAGGTCTTCCACTTCATCGTGATCTCCGTAGTCTTGTCTTTCCATGTGGCCTTACGTTCCAGTTTTTCGATTATGTCGGACTGTATGAGATCAAACAAATAATTATGCCAGATTTCTACTGTCCATTTATTTTTGTTCTTCCAGCCTAGAGCTATTACTGCTTTGCCTGCTAGTATCAGGGCTTTAAACAAAGCTTGGTTCTCTTTGCTTATTGCTGGATTACCTACTATACTCATTAGCATTAAATTAAAGTTAATGTGTAATGATACTTTACATGTCTTATTTATAATTTGTAATATCTTTGTCCAGAATACTCTGACCTCTGGGCACTCCCACCACATATGGGAATACCATCCCTTCGATTGTTTACAATGCCAACATCTAGGGCTCATACCTGGGAACATGTTTGCAATTTGTGCTGGTGTTTTATACCATTTGGTAAGAAATTTATGCTCCATTTCATTAAATTTGATTACTTTAATTTCCTCAGTTCCTTTCATTATTTTTCTTGCCATACTATCTGTTATCTGACCTTCTTTGGCCCAAGTGTTTTGTAAATACAATATTGACTTATCTACATTTGATGTCATTTCCTTGTAAATTTTCCCTGCTAGCCCTTGTTTTGACTTTTGCATCTCTTTGTATAATGTTTCTATTGGTTCCTCTAGCCAACATTTCTCTTTTTCCTTTATCTTTTTAACCTTACTATACAGGCCAGTTATTCTTAACCAATGTTGGTTGCCCACCTCTTCTATTATCTCCTGTATGGGTTTTAGATTGCCTCCTCTAAACATATCTTTCATCCTATAATACCCTTTAGCTTTTAGCCATTCCCACCATTCGTTACCTGTTATATCCTTGTTTATAGATTTTAATGGTGCCCAGCTTGAAGTTTTTCTTAGCCATAACTCCTGCCACTTATTCCACGCTTCTAAGGCTGCATGTCTGGGACCTTTGGTTAGTTTGAGGTCTATTTTTGTGACTTTGCAAAGAGGCCCCCAGCAGCCAATGTGATTATTGATCTCGTTCTCAAATCTAACCCATTTTTGCTCTTCCCCTTCGCCTATTTCTAATAGGGACTTTATTTGGAAGGCTTCATAATAGCTGTTAAGCTCCGGGACTCCCCACCCTAGCTCCCCTTTGGGACTATATATCAATCTCTTTTGGGTTCTGTACTTCTTGCTCCCAAATACCCATTCTCTAATCACTCTGTTCCATTGTTCTAGCTTTTTACTGTGTGCTTCTAGTGGTATCGCCTGAAATAAATATATTAATTTGGGTAGCCAGAACATTTTAACACTTCTAATTCTAGTGGAGAGCCCTAGCGTTTTGTTTTTCCATTTTCTCATATCTTTTTCTATTTTCTTCCATATTATGTTGTAGTTACTTTCCGCGATTCTATCAATCTTTTTTTGTATCACTATCCCTAAGTATTTAAACCTTTTAGTTCCCATACCGATACTTGTAATTTTGTTTACTTCTTTTTTTTCTTCTTTATTCACATTAAGGTACATGATTTCTGATTTGGCCATATTTACTTTTAAACCTGAGAAACACTCATAATCCTCTAGTATAATTTTAATCTCTTTCATCGCTTCTTGGGGATTTGACATAACCACTATAATGTCATCTGCAAATAAATTAATTTTCATTTCTTCCTTCTTTGCTTTGAGACCATTTATCCTTACACTATTTCTTATTCTCTCAGCTAGCTGTTCTATCGCTATGGTAAATAGAAGTGGTGAGAGTGGGCAGCCCTGTCGAACTCCTCTCTGAATCTGAAATGTTTGTGATTTGTCATTGTTAACCTTAACCACTGCTTTCCCATCTCTATATATTTCCTGGATTGCTTTTATAAAATTATCTCCCATCTTGTACTTTCTCATAACCTGCCACAAAAATCCCTGAGAGAGGGTATCGAAAGCTTTATAGACATCCAGTTTTAGGAGGGCTAATTTTTTTTGTTGACTATGTTGCAGTACGTTTATTATGTTCCTAATCGGATGAGCAATATTCCTCCCCTTAATAAACCCATATTGATCTTCTTTTATTATATTAGGTATGATGTTCTTTACTCTGTTTGCCAAGATTTTAGCAAAGATCTTATAATCTTGATTAAGGAGACTAATGGGACGGTATGAACCTACTTCTTCCGGGTCTTTACCTGGTTTCATGATTACTATTATTTCTGTTTGTCTCCATGAGTCTGGGGCTTTCTCCCCCCTCAAGATCGCATTGAAGACCATATGTAGCTCTGGGGTTAATATTTCTACCATTTCCTTATAAAATTCACTTGTAAACCCGTCTAAACCCGGGGATTTCCCCTTTCTGAGTTCCTTAATTGCATCTTTTATTTCTTGTATGGTAATTTCCTCTTGTAATTTACTTTGCTCCTCTTCCTTCAGTGTAGTTTTGACCTCTTCTGTAAAGACTGCAGTGTCTCTTTTCGCATATAGATTTTTATAGTAAGTCGCGAACGCCTCTCTTATTTCTATAGGGTGTTGAGTTTTTTGGCCATTCACCTTTATGCTTTTTACCCTTTGCTTTTCCTTCCTATTTTGCAGGTATTTTGCTAATCTTTTTGATGTGTTAATACTATTTCTTTGATATTCATTTTTCACCATAGCTTCCCTTTTCCATAATGTTGTCGAGTCTAGTGCATCCAATTGCTTTCTGATTTCTATTATTTGATTCTGTATCATAGGGTTATATTTGTGCATTAATTTACTTTGTAAAGTCCCCAATTCTTGAATTTTGGCTTGCCTTCCCTGGTACCATTGCTTTTTTAGGAGCTTTTCTTTCTTTATGCAATGCCCTCTTATCACTGCTTTTGCTGCATCCCATAATACATTTATAGGTACTGTTCCTCTGTTTTCCTCAAAGTATAACTTTATCTGCTCTGCTATGTAATGTCTATCCCTTTCTTTGGCCATTATCAAATTGTTGTATCTCCAAGTTCTATCTATTGGTTGTTGTGTGAGTTCTATTACCATGCTAATTGGAGCGTGATCCGAGATCCATATCTGATGGGTCTTAATATCTTTAAGAATCGTATTATTATTCTTTCCCAAAATTATGTAGTCTATACATGATGCTGTTTTGTGTCTGCTTGATATATGTGTAGGTTTGGGGTGGTACCCCATAGACTCGTGAGCCTCTATCAGGCCCCAGTTCCCTAGCTTCATTGATTTATCTTTTGTTAAATCCAAATTTAAATCCGCCGCTATAATAATTTCGCCCTCTGAAAATTGTTTAGTTTTTTTAAATATTTTCCCCAGAAATTTCTTTTGTCCTTTATTTGGCGCATAAATATTTATTATTGTGTACTTCTTACCTTCTATTTTAAACTTTACTAGTAAGTACCTACCATTCCCATCTGTCTCTCTCTCCACATCCTCTATTTTAATTTTCTTGTGTATCAATACTGCTACCCCTTTGCTCTTGTTATTACATCTGGCTTCTGCTAAGATCTCCCAGGATGGGTGAGCCAACAATGGCTTTCTGTCCTTCTTTTTCTTGTGAGTTTCCTGAAGACATAATATATCTACCTTTTGTTCCTTTGCTATCCTAGCTATCCTAAACCTTTTAAGGTTGGAGGATAAGCCATTGACATTCAGAGAAAGCAAGGTTATTGTTTTATCCATACTCTTTATGGTTCTGGGCTTTTAGTCCCCATGGCTGCAATTTTCCCAAACCCTTAATTAACATTTCCTTCCCCTTCCCCTCCCCCTGTGGTAGAGAAATCCCCTTGAGAGAACAATTCCTCTCCTCTCTCCACTTCATGGAGTGCACACATCCCCTCCTCCCCCTTACTACTTATAATATATACATTAGCTTAAAATTGAGTGGGTACTTCCCTTTAGGTGGTTCCTTCAAATGCCTCTGTCCTGGGCCTTTTCCCCCCTCTGTCTGACGTTCCTTCCTCCGCGTCTGTGTCTTCTTCTAGGTCTGGGCCTTCTTCCATTTCCTGTTCTCTTACATCTTCATCGTTTATGCCAAATTTTCTAAGCAGTTCTTTGGCCTCCTGAGCATTCCGTGCCATAAGCCTCTTCCCTTCTTGAAATATAATTATTGTGGCTGGGTAGCCCCATGTGAATTTTATATTGTTTGAGTAAAGTTTTTGGGCATAGGGGCGCATCAGACTTTTTTTCTTCAGAGTTTCTTGACAAAAATCGCGTTTGAGCCAAATTTTCCTGCCCTTGAAGCTTAAATCCGTCTTCTTTTTTAGCTCTTTA